GAGTTATCAGCTTCACAATGGATAGGATTTTGGCTTAGAATTGCAGAGACTCTAGAGGATCCCCCGATTAATATGTGGCTTCAATCCTACAGGTCCAGAATTTTAATTACTACCTCATAACTATGTTAAAGTGCCCATTCTTAGGGGTGATCTCGACATAGGGGCCACAAATAAAAACTCTGAATCCGTAGATCGATTAGAATTCAAATTCTAAGTAATATCCTCCTACAAACCATGCTCATACGTGTTGTGGTTGGAAAGCTATAGTCCAATCTCTCCAGAGTGCCAAATTTGGCAGGGAAAACAAGCTGATTTCGCATTTTTGGAGCAATAAATAAAATTTCTACATGGAAAACTCTCTCAGTGGATTCAATCACATCATTCCCTCAAACCCAGTGCAAAAAATATATTGAATTGGTGTTGTGGAAGGTACAAAGTCCATGTCTCAAGAAATTGGCCCTGTGACGCTATGTCACGGCATGTCACTGGTCATCACACTTACCAAGGATTGTGCAACACCACTTCTCAATAATGCCAGAATCTATCATTCTGAAGAAGTCACAGCTCTTGTACACAGTTACAGTAAGTAAATAAAAGGGGGCTGACAGAATGAAAACAATTAATGTGCTTAATGTTTAAATTTGTCCACAACTGTGTTCCCTAGGTGAAGCTCTGCTAAAAATTAAAGTTTTGCCTAGTGCCAAACAGACAAATTAAATTGTTCATGAAATCCATTCCATTTACAAATTTTAAATTCTCAACAACCTTTTGTCCTGTGGACATAGTTTATGATACATTTTAAAAATAGTAACAGCAATTTCTCTACATTTGGAGGTTGCCTTTGCACAATAGAAATCTACTATATACATACAGTTGAGTGCAAAAAGAATGAAGGTTGGTTCATTTTTCTGGTTCTTTCTAAGGATCTATTGTACCTCAAATGTATTTGTGTATTCTTTTACATTATGTAGTTGTGTTACACTTCCCTTGGTATGGACTAATTTCAGTGAAAGCTGGAGCCTTGAGAAGGTTTTTATTCTGGAGGCCATTTTTGGCATCTGAAAAAAAAAATATGCGCTAACTGGGGAGGTAGCCAGAACATACCTCTGGTCAACCTGAATGAGCCTATCAAAGAATTAGTTAAAAATACTGAGTGGTTATGCTTGTAGAGCCTCCAGAAAATGGTCATTTTGTGCTATTTTGGTCATTTTTGGCCTGTTTTAGACAAAACAAGCCATTTTCACCTTTTTGTAAGCCTCGAAATCAGCAAAATAGGTAATGCCGGTGATATTACCAACTCTGGTTCCTGTGAATTCCATATCTGTTGACAAAATAAAATGTGCCTAAATGTACATTTGATCAATTCAAAGCCTTAACAGGACAAAAATAAGAAGCGGGACACACCAAAATTGCCACACAACAAATCAGTCCAGATGTTGTCCCAGACTTACGAGAGGCGTAAGGGCTGTTTGACCGAAATACCGGAAGTGCGCTACCAAGCGCTACAGTTGGACCATAGATGATCAAGAGAGCTAACTAATGACCAGAAATATTTAGAACAAGCATGAATCTGTGTTTGGAAATATGAGCATACCTTGAGTAAGTACTCGCTTCGAAACAAATATGTCCAATTGGTGATGCATCCATCCTGAAAGAAGAATGGCGGTAATTTGGGGTACCGTGCACCAACTGTCATGCCATTTGCATTGTAACCGAGCAAATTCTTGATGGTCGGATTGCCTGTGCAATCGAATTTTCGTGCAAGACACTCTGCAGAAAGACCAAAGATTGATGTGGCATTCTTCCACAGGCGATCAATCATGCTGGAGTGGCTGGATGAAAGCTCTTTTGTAAACTACAAAAAGCGTCAAAAAGTATTTTGATTTGAGGAAGTGTGAACTGACCTTAGCGCCAAAGTCACTGTGACTTTGCATGTAGTCATGGAGGCACTCTGGAACACACTCATACAACTCTGCACTAGCGCCTAACATGATGTTGCCCTCAGTTGAGTATCGTTCACTGCTGTTGAAGTCGAATGAAGGCTTTGGTCAGCAAAAGTCGTTGGTGTGAACCCATGGTTGATGGAAGAGGAGATAGATCTGGGCAAGCTTGGCGATCTCTTGATCCGCTGTCAAGAGTTCTTCTGGTACATCTGATTTGGATCCTTTATGGCTCTTCTTGACCTTTTCGCTTGCAAGCTCCAGTCTGAGCATGTTGATGATGTGGTTTGCGTTGTCAAGTTCTTTGTACGTGTTTTGCAGAGCCTATTAGTAATTGTACAATCAGTATTGAAATAATGAATAGATTAATAGATTATTAGTCACAAACCTCCTCGAGTTCTCTGATGCTCATGTAGCTTATTCCGCGTTCACATTCAACTCGCGAAGTAGAAACAGAAGACATTCCAGAAGAGGTAGCACTCACAGAAGAAATATTGTCCTCAATCTATATCATATACCAGGCTTCTTAGATCACAAGTGTGAATAGCATAGGAAGTACTGCACTTGGTAAGTGAGGACAGCTTGCAGAACACCTCAGAGATCACACTGAGCTCATCCGACCCATAGATTACCTGAAATTGGTACTTTAAATAAAAAGATTTAACAGCCTGCCAGCTGGACTAACCAACCAACCCCATATGGCAGATTCAAATCCTGCTCCCCCCTTGCACAGAACTAACTTTCAAACATATACAGGTAATAGAATAGACCCAAAACCAGACACTATTGTGCCTGCTACTGTCCAAAAAAACACATGTCACTTCAAGGCTCTCACAAAGAATGTTCTACCAACTGGTAAGAGGTCTTTACTCTCCTCCATGAGTTCCTGCGGATTCCACCAGATTCCCACTGGAAAGTCAGAATTCCATGGAATTCCATGGAATTTCTATGGAAAGCAACTGGCTGGAGCATCAGCCATTTTGGTTTCCAATTCCATGGAAATTCCCACTTTTTTCCAAGGAATTCCAATGGAAATGGTCGGATTCCGGGAGGCTCCGGGAATGATTCCTGACAGAATCCAAGGAATTCCATTGTTATGTATTATTCCTTGTTTATTTTTGATGGAGAACAAATATCATTTGTTTGGCAAACATGCTCACCAAACACGGCCACTCTTTTCTTCCACCACCACCACCACCACTACATGCTCGTCACTGCCACCAATGCCATGCCACCACCATCACCCTTCAACAACAACAGGGCCATGCCACGTCACCAAACGATGACCACCAAGTGCCCACAAAAACGCCCCAGCACCTACGAAAACCATACCCCACCCACAAAAATGCCCCACCGCCACCGAAAACCATACCCCACCCACAAAAATGCCCCACCGCCACCGAAAACACAAGCGCCCACCGAAAAACATGCACCACCCACTGAAAAACATGCACCGCCCACACAACAGCTCCACGCCAACACGTCCACGCCAACGATGCCCACAACAACGCCCCAGCACCCACGACAACAACAATGCCAACGCCCACTGTGCCACGTCACACCCTGCCCACGAACACACACACACCCCAGCACCCACATGCAAAAATGCAGGCACATGATGAAAACATGAACACATGATGAGGAGCTGACAACGAAATGGGACACGACGATGCGACACTGACACGAGACGATGATAGGTGAGGTTCCAGCTACACCCCTCTCCCTTCCACCATTCCCTTCCTCCCTTCCTCCCTTCCTCCTCCCCCCTTTCCCCCTTTCTTGTCCCTCCCCCTTTCTTCCCTCTTTCTTGTCCCTCCCCCTTTCTTCCCTCTTTCTTGTCCTTCCCTCTTCCTCCCTCCCCTGCCTTGTTCTTCCCTCTTCCTTGTCCCTCCCAAAATATGAATACACCCCACCTTGTCCCTCCCCTCCCCCCTCCCTTTAAGATAAACTGTGTAGTGTGTGTAATAATATATTTCAAATACATAACAACTCAATCTATGTGACTTCTACATGTGAATTTTATAAGGAAATATGAGTAGCAAGTCATCAGGATAAGGTTGGAGTGGAAAAAAACTTACTCTGCTTGATTCCAGTCCTATTCCTGCAGAAATAGGTGGGGCACTGTAAAGTACTGACCCCTCCCTCCCCCTCACTCTCCCCCCTCCATCCCATGCCCCTCCCTTCATCACTCTTCAACACTCCCTCCCCCCTCCCTTTAATATTAAATCTTGTAAAATAAATTTATGTAGTCCAATTCAATAGACTTCAATTTCTAGTATACTTAATTGTACCAATGTTTATGTCCTTAATATATATTACTCTATTTTTACGGTGATTGAACTTAGAAGTATGGGAATTTGACTGGAATTTCCATGAAATTTCCCTGCAATTCCACTAGGAATCCACAGGAATCCCATTCAAATTCCACTGGGAATCCATAGGAATCATTCTGGAATTTCCATGGAATTTCCCTGGAATTCCACTGGGAATCCATGGGAATCCACAGGAATTGTACATTCCTACCATTCCTGTGGATTCCCAGTGGAATTCCAACATTCCGTGGGATTGCAGCGGAATCTGCCGGAACTCATGGAGGAGGGTAAAGTACTGTGAATTCCAGATCTTACATGATCATTGCAGAGCCACAGGGGTGGATCTGTAGTGGTGCAATCCAGGGTATCATCCAGGCTGATATCCTGCCAAATGTCGTCATCTACATCCAGAGTAAAGAGACCTGCCATGATGATCTTGGAGGGGCAAACTGAGCGAGCAGGTGCCTTGTGCTGTGATTTGAGGTGCAGCATCACATCAACTAGATTGTTGTAGTCGTGAGTGAGTCTTTGTATGCTGGGATCACATCGCTTTACTGAGTCTTCAAGATGATGATGAACCTTCTGCTCTGATCAATAGTTAGCACTATGTATTCAGTGTTGTGAGGGGTCGATGGCATACCATTGATGTGCTTGTGATATGATCTCTCAATCCAGTCCAGCTCGAATTTCTGAGAGCATAATCTGTCACGTAGATGTAGTTTGAGTGCCCTGGCATTCATCCTGGCTGCGATGAATGGATTGTTTTGTAGCTTCTCAAGTTTGGTTTGTTCTTGGATGCCAAGTGCATTTTCTGAACCATGGACAAGGGATTCCACAGACTTAAGTGCCTTCTTTGGCTCAGCAAGTCGCAATTCAGCATCACAAAGCTGATACTCAGATGAAGAGGAGTCGAGAATGATGTTTTCCTGTTCTTGAATGCATGTTTTCAAAATGTCATGTGCTTTCCGAAGGCGGACGGCTTCAGTGACCACATCCTTGCCTTGATTTCTTGTTCGTCTGAATTAAGTTATTAACTTGGGTACTTTGATCCTTGGGAGTCCCATTATACCAGAAAGAAATTAGATGGGAATCCCTTAGTTAAAGGAATCCCATGGAACAACTCCTAAGGGACTCCCACATCACTTGGATCCCAAGACAGGAGAGGCCAATTATGGAAGTCCAGAAGAATATCAGGGGAATCCCAAGGGAATATGTGGCTACCCCAAGGGACTCCAAAAAATAGGTGGGATATACCATGGTATTGGCCCCTCATATGGTAGTCTTATTGGCATGGACTAACTACCCTAAGAGGGTACCTTTAGATGGTTGCCTGAAGTGACTCATGGATGAACTCGCAGAGAGCCAGAGTGGTGCCTTGATTTGACGTTCATGCATGCATTGTTGAGGCTTGGGTATGAGTTTGAGGATGGGAGAGAGGTGGCGATTGGGAAGAAGATTGGAGGGACAGAGATGGGTTAGTGTTTGGGTGCTACAACTGCGATGGTTGGGGGGAGCTGAAGTGTCGGATTTGAGGGTGGGATAGGTTTTATTTTAATTATCACTGATGGTGTTTATGGATAATGAGGTTATGTGGACTATGGAGGGATCTGATATACTTGATCTGTGAATGTAAATAATCTCAGGAATTCTCCAAGATAGTACTAGGTAGAATACCTGGGAAGTTGTAGTCTTAGTCCATGCATCCTTGTGATTGTCCAGCACGATTATATCAAAGCAGAAGTGATTACAACTTACACATACATACCAAAGGGTTATGGCTTACTTTTTGCATAGAGCCATCATATGCACAATGTTTTTTTTTGGAGGGGAAAGATAGCTACTGTACATCATATTTACTATGTGAAACACAGAACTTAGCTTATACATACAAAATGGACTCAAAACAAAGACCTCAAAAGAAAAGAAAAAACATGTCATTTTGAGAGTCCCCCAAGGGCCAAAGAATGTTCTGCCAACTGGTAAAAGGTTGTTCACATAGGCAATAAACCAGCACCTGCATTGAATGCTATTATAAGGCTGGTGAAAAACATTGACTCCAATTTGTACCATGGACAAAGTTACTAAAATCAAGTATAGTTGGAGTGGTGCCCAGTACATTGACTGTTCTTGGAAAAAATAAACCATGTTTATTGTGTGGTGGCACCCAGAAGAGATGTGATCTGAAATCTTCTCCAATGATCCAATTATCAGATTTATGTCTTTGAGAGGGATAAAAGACAACAGGTTTACTCTTCACTATGTGGGATACATTATGGTGGGTACCACTGTCATTAACATTATTTCTGACTTCAGATGGCAAAAATCTGGATGGCAATGGAACTGAAGGAGCTGAGGGATTTAAGTCTATGCAGCCTCCATGAGCATCCCAGAGTCTGATGGTATTGTCTGAAGATCCAGAAGCAATATGTCTACCATCAGGTGAAAAAACAACTGATAGAACAGCTTCATAATGGCCTTTGAATGGATCTCCCAAAGTGTGACCTGTTACAGCATCCCAGAGTCTAATTGTTTTGTCACATGAACCAGAAACAATGTACTTCCCATCAGGAGAGAATGCAACTGAAGTAACATCATCACCATGGCCTTTTAGAGGATCCATGACACTCTGTCCTGCATTGAAATCCCACACTCTGATAGCTTCATCATTAGATCCAGACACAATGTACCTTCCATCAGGAGAAAAGGCAACAGACTCAACACCACCCTTATGACCTATAAGAGGTTTCATTATACTTTGACCTGTCAGGGCATCCCATGCTCTGATTCTTCTGTCTTCAGACCCAGAGATGATGAATTTGCCATCTGGAGAAAATGAAACTGAATTAATCCGATGAGTGTGACCTATGAAAGGATTCAAGACACTCTGCCCTGTCAGTGCATTCCAGACTCTGACTGTCTTGTCCCATGATCCAGAGGCAATGTATCTACCATCAGGAGAAAATACAACAGAAATAACTCCGTTATCATGGCCTTTGAGAGGATCCATGGCACTCTGACCTGTTAAAGCATCCCAGACTCTGATTGTGCAATCATGAGATCCAGAGGCAATGTATCTGCCATCAGGAGAAAATGCAACTGATGTAACCTGACGGTAATGACCTCTAAGTGGACCCATGACACTTAGACCTGTCAGAGCATCCCAAACTCTGAGTGTTGCATCATTAGACCCAGAGACAATGTGTTTGCCATTAGGAGAAAATGCAACTGATCTTATCCCATTGTTATGGCCTCTTACATGATCTATCTCAGTGTGGCCTGTCAGAGCATCCCAAACTTTGATTGTATTGTTCCCACATCCAGAAATAATATGCTTTCCATTGGGTGAAAAAGCCACAAAAGAAACTGAGTGTTCATCATCTTCAAGAGGACTTAACATACACTCACTTGTCAGAGCATTCCAGAATCTAATTATGCGGTATTGAGTTGCACAAACAATGTGCTTGCCATCAGGAGAAAAAGTTACTCTTCCGATGGGATCAGAGCCCCTATAAAGAACCATTACACTCTGACCAGATAGAGCATCCCAGACTCTGATTGTCTTATCAACAGATCCAGAAACAATATTCATTCCATTAGGAGAATATGCAACACAGTTGACTATGGAATTGTGACCAATGAGTGGATCCATCACACACTGACCTGTTCCAGCATTCCAGATTCTGATTGTGCCATCAAGGGACCCTGAGACAATGTGCCTGCCACTTGGAGAATATGCAACTGAAGTAACACCAAGGTGATGGCCTGTTAGAGGATTCATGACACTCTGGCCTGTCAGAGTATTCCAGACTCTGATTGTTGTATCTCTAGATCCAGAGACAATGTGCCCACCATCTGGAGAAACTGCAACAGAGCTAATTGTGTCACAATGACCTTCAAGAGGACCCATGACACACTGGCCTGTTAAAGCATCCCAGATTTTAATTGTCTTGTCCCAAGATCCTGAGATTATGTGTTTTCCATTAGGAGAATATGCAACTGAACTTATATAGTGAGCATGGCCTTTTAAACTAATGATATTATTGCCTGTGAGAGCATCCCAGACCTGAACAGCTCCTACAAATCCAGAGACAATGTGCCTGCCATCAGGCGAATACGCAAGTGGACCATTCCTAGTCTTTATTCTCAGAAGGCACCTGTCTGGCCACTGTTTAATTTGACCATTCTCAATTGTCAAAGTCTTTGCAAAATATCTCATGAAATGCATAGATATTTTAGAATCTTGTGGTGCAAATGGCAGTGCTGAGATGTAAATGTGTGGTGCTGCATCAGATATTGGCTCAAAGAATGTCATTATAAATTGGTTTGCATCACTTGCAAACTCTGACATACTAGGCTTCAATACCTACATTTAATTTGTTCATATCAGTATCATGATAGTATGTATATATACATAAAACACTTACACTACACCAATTTTCAGTCAACAGCAGTAAGTGGGCAGCATGGTTTACAGCCCCCATTAGGCTCATAATTTCTAGCCAATGTAAAAGATGGTTCATCAAGAATATCTCCATCTGAACCAATATCTCCTCCTCTAATGTTTTATCAGAATACCGTTGCAGATAGATTGCCCAGAAGTGGCTTGCATGAGCTAGAGCAGTAGATTTCACATTTTTGATATGGTCCATCAGATTTGGAATATCTTTATTTAGAATATGTGATGTTTTCAGATCAAAAAAGTTGAATTTGAGCTTAGCACTCATATATTTCATACAAGATCCAGCAAAACAGAGACTATGCTTCTGAGAATCCACCCAAAAAGCCTTAGAGCGCTTTCGGTCAAGCAGAAAATCTGTAAATGACTGATGACGGATATGCAAATGGCCAGTATCACTGATTAACAGTACTGGGCTGAGTTGGCTAACTATTGACAATGCACCTTGAACTCCCAAAAGCTGTTCAAGATCACTTGCACGAAGTGGGTTCTTTGCAATAACAATTGTTCCTAAAACTGATGATAAAGACTTTTTTTCGGCTTCTCTTAGCCCCTGGAAAGCAACAAAAACAATGTGCTGGTACAAGGTGTCAATGGCATGAATGCCTTCCCCAGAGTCAGAGCAAATGACATCCAGCCTTTCTTTAGTGTCACCACCTCTGTGCAAAATAAAGTCCATTGCAGATTTAGCCCAAATATAGAGGCCTGCAGCCTTCCTTACAAGAAAAGAAATATTATCTGGACCAGGCCAGTTCACATGCAATGATGTTTGCAATCTAGTCATGTTAGAGAACCTTGTAGTAAAGTAAAGCTCAAGATCTTTAGAGGTCTGATCAGAAACTTTGCCTCCAGTATGAAGATCAATATGCTGGCTAACAGAATCCAGTGTTCTCTGAATATCAAGATAGCGACGACTCGTGATGAAAAGTTTCAGATACTTGGGAAGCAGCCAAGACCAGGATTTCAATGAAGGTAAAAGCTTCTCATACTGGTCACATTCATCAAGAGCATCAATAACAATAAGAAGAGGTGTTGCAGTGTCTTGAAACAGCTCTTGAACTGGTTTAACAATGAGATGCTCAAATTGCATAGAAATATCAAGACCTCTGATGTTAGCTTTCTGTGTCTCTAATGCCATAGCTATAGATTTCCCTAGAGCATTGTTTCCTACTGCAAGATCCAAAGCAAGAAGCCTCCACAGATTGTCTGGATCACAAAACTCAGCCTGATCATGGTGAAAGAAGAATTGCCCAGAGAAAGATTCAAAGTCAGCAACAACAGTTGAAGCAATTGTTGTCTTTCCAGAACCAGGACTTCCAGATAGCCAGAGAATATTTGGCATGTTGAGATCACAAAGCCACCCTTGGATGTCTCTGAGCACATCCACACAAGTTCCAGGCATGCATCTTTCCCTCTGTTTATGTGATGGAGCCTTCAATTCTTTCAACCATTCATTTTTCTAGTGAATCATTTGCTATCAGTTCTGACAAAATTAGTTGACATATGTCATAACATACCTTTAATTCTTCCATCCTCTCATTGACTTTGCATGGAAGTTCCCCATTATTATTGTAGTTGACCTGCATATGCACATTAGAATGAACATTCATATGAACATCTTCACTCACAGTATTTGCAGCAATAATTACAGCATTATCCATCTGAATATCCTGTGCTCCTGCCAAAACACTTACTTGATTCACTGGGAAAAGGGTACATGTAGAATAATCAGAAAGGAGAAGATTAGAAGGATAAGCAGCTCACTAGATTGTTTGGCTACTGTAGCCTCAGTATCTGTGCTGGTATCAATCCCTGTGAGATATTTAAAAATTATGGTGAAGTAAAAAAGTAGAAAATTTGACATACTAGTCTTGTATAAATTTTGTTCAAGTATCTGAGATGCCTGAACCTTGGAAAATAGTGAGTCAACTAAGTGACAGGAACAATTTACATACCTTGAAAGCACCCATGGCTTCATTCAATTTGCTTTTAAACTCCTCAATGTATGCCATATCCTCTGTAAAACTGGGAAGTCTCCTCCATTGGCTGCACTGTTGAACATCTGCGCCTCTTTCTTTTAAATAATTCAAAACGCTAATGAGTTCCCCGGATTCAAACGGTATCAGCAACAGATATGTCAAACCACACACCCTTTGAGATGCTCAAGACTCGATTGCCAAGCAAGCGGAACGTGATCCTTCCCATAATGACAGGTATACTGAATAATCTTCTCGACCTGCGCGATGAGGTTCTCCGAGAACTCAGCCCAGGCTTTCTTATTAGTATTAAATTTCTATTTCTAACCATTAGATAGATGTCACAGATCCGCTTAAGCAGCACTACAAACCTTGGTGATGTCAATGATGGCCAAGGTGTCGGCGACGGCGGCTTTCAAACTCGGCGAAAAAACATTCTCAGACATAGCGACAATCTCGAGCGCCTGAAGACCACCTCTGCCGCAGTCACGCAGAAAGTCGCCCGCCCCGGGATCCAACCCAAAGATGTTGTCGGTGCTGTTAGTGCTGCTAGTGATGTTCACGTTCATGGTGATGGTGGTTGGTGAGAAAGACGAGAGGCGCCGAGATGCGGTTGCGGTTGCATCGCCTCATGATGAGGGCAGGTCATCATGTGAGCCCACTCGAGAGGCGCCGGAAGCGCTTCTCTCAAGTTCAACTTGTTACCTATTATAGACGAAGGTATTTTATAGAGGGCGGTCCTGGGAGGAGAGCTCATCGATCGCTCATGATCTTGCTTCATCACCTAAACCCTCACTTAATCCTACAGCAGCACTGCGGCGTCTGAGCCGTTTACACTCTACACTCGACCCACTACGTCTCGCAATCGAAATGGATAATCGTGAGCCCAGAACGACTGAAACTGAGACGCAAAGTACAACCGCTTCGACTTTCTGCTGCACAAAACTCCAGTTGAGCAACACGCTTTATGCATCTTGTATTGCGATGCATACCTTCCTTGCTATTTTAGTTGATACTGGGCACAGCCGTCGATGTAAGACGCAAGCTAAACTTGGGTGTGAGTTTCAAAAGCATTGATAATTGCAATGATGGCGGTCACCGTGCTGAGTCTTTACTCAAGCCGGCCACACCGCAACCTCCCTACGGCGAGCCTCCATGAAGTCAATATTCACCGAAAGCCATCAACGTTTTTTGACGATGTTTGGCTCGTTCACGGGACCTCTGGCGATCAAAGATGAAGTGATCCTGCCCAGGGGAACCTCGGCCGGCAACATCGCGCGCGGGTTCCACTCTCAGACGAAAACAGCGAGAGCTCAGGATTGAATAAAGAACCACCAAACTCGCGCCGCGACATCTTTACGTCGAGGCCGGATTGAGCAATACGTCCACAACATTTTGGAATGATAAAAAGAAGCAGAGTACTCACTTGATAGTAGGGGTTCAACGGTCATCCACAATCATCCGCTGCACCTGCTACACCTTGAGGTTTGTTGAGTGGGGTTTGAAGTTGGCAGTACATTGCGTGATTGGAGGTCATCATTCTCCGCCACTGGCGCTCGGATGTTACCCCGTAGCGCCCACCTTCGTCCTTTCAATGCCTAGGTTATTGGGATTGCACGTCCTACTGCACTTTCACTTTCGTTTGCGATTCCTTTACCTGGATTTGCCCTCCCATTTCTTTAATTCACTTGTACTCTTCCTTCTTCCCTTCCCCCCCTCTTTTGCACCCTCCTTCTGACTTCGACGAGCTCAACTCACCCACTTTTCCCAGCAGTCCGTTCTTCTCTCTCAATCATGCTTTCAAAATCTTCGCCAGGCCAGGCGAACGTCACCTTTGGAACACCCTTCCATCGTCGTTAGGTTGCCTTGAAAACAACCCAAAGCATCCGCGATCTTTGAAGGTGTTCGGCTCGTTGAACCCAGTTCCTTTTACGCGGAACGTCAACGGCTTGCGGAGAGTGGCTGGAAATCAGCCCATTACATGGAGGTTCCAGTGAGTATGCACCTCCTTTTCATGTTAGTCTGGTGGTTAATGGATCGACCGACAGCTGGCTCTTGTATTATATCCGAAGAGCATCTGTCGCATTCTCTGCAGGCCCCAGTCGGCTTCTTGGGGGGTACCCTCTGGGTTTCCTCCGCTGTTGTCGTCTCCTGCCATTTCCGCGCATACGTTTCGGGGTGTCGATCCCGAACAGCTTCCCAAAAACTTCATTCCTATACGCGATCCTCCACCCCACCCACTATCAACACACCCTCAGAACCTCCGCTCATCACCCCGGAACGTCCCAACCCTCTGCGTCCACTCCTCACCAACATCGCGTTCTGCCAGTTGTTTGCCGTGTGTCTAAGCGGCAACTACAAGGACCCAAAGTACAGGTTGCTCCATTCTTTCGGATGAAGAAGTGTCAACGACAATAGAAACCCATCGCCATCATCTTCCATCTTGCCATCCACACTTCGGATGAAACCTGCAGCATCCCACATACCCCCAATTCAATAGGACCGCCATCTAGAGACTTCTCACCCTCGGAGCTCTCTCTGGCGTGAGGATCCAGCCTTTAGATTCGTTCCTCCTTCAACTTGGATTCATTGTTGTTTTGAAGGATGGGATGGCTACTGGGACCTGCTTTTCTGCTGTGGAATCATCGTCGTGCTTCATCATAACTCACTGGGATTGCTGTTTATACACCGGAGCCGTCTCTTCGCATTCAGACCTGGTGGTAGGACTTCGTTGGCATCGGAGTCGGGTTGAGAGTTGCTGAAGGACGGAATCAACCACTTTGGTCCCTATATCTCATCAATTCGATTGTCCCTAGATGATGAGCGATCGGTCTAATATCGTCGAACGTGCATGTCGTCCCGATGAAATCCATCTCCAAATTCTCTTGTGCGCATGCCCAGGGGTCCGACTTCTCCGGACAGAGCGGGGTCCTGTCAGACTTCGCATTATGTTCGAGTCATACTTCTCACGAAATCAGTCTGGATTCTCCACCGTTTGTGAAGACTCACTGAACCCAGATTCATCTACGCGAAATATGCAGCACCTCCGGAGAACTGGCTGGAGATCAGCTCACTTGACCTCCGTGGAGTTTCCGGTAAATCTACGCGTCTTTCTCATGTTGATCGTGTCGCTAACGAATCGACCAACAGCTGGCTGTTGAACTAACCTCTCGAGAATGAAGAATACTCATCGCATTCCCCTGCAAGCCTCACCAAGTCGCCTTTCGTACTATTGGAGAAGATTTACCGGTTTTCCTCTGACATGGTTGTGGGCCTCTCGCTTTCGATCCGCTTCGATAGGTTTGAAACAACTTACGGAGTTTCTTATACCTTATACCTCGGATGGGCGGACGCGCGGAAATTCCAAATCCGAGGCTGTTTGGTGTTCTCCACGTCACTTCTTCGACCGACTGGAACTCCCAACTCCCTCTAACGTCGCCTCAACGTCACCTTAACCTCGTCATCTACCCAGATCCCTCTCCGTTGCAAGCCATACTGTTTCGGCGATGGCGTAGAAGTTGGCTAGGGAGACAAATACCTCGGACTGTAAAAGTAGGAGTTGTAGTTGGAGGTAATAGGACGGTAGTTATGTAGGCACAGTAAGCAAAACTGTTGGAATGCGAAGAGACGTTCGCGAGATGTTTGTTTGAATTTGATCAACAACTTGACCATCGCCCATGACGTTGACCTCGCGTTGTAATAAGGCCGACAGCCATCCTTGCTGGATCCTTCTATTTGGAGAACAATGACGAAATGTTGTTTGTTTTCCCTCTCCTTCGTTTTGTAGGCTGGCGATCCGAGGGCGAGCGCTGCTTTCTCTGGGCTGGAGAACCTAGAGGTGTGTTTGCTTTCTTCCTCTAAGCTCACCTTCAGATATTGATGCAGATGCTCCGCATGCAGTCATGCACTGCGCTACTCAGTGGTAGTCAGTCTATCCGCCACGACTTCCAGCTCGGGGATTGCGCCCCTTAGACGGCTTGCTCCAGCCAGATATCCCAAATCCTGGGCCTGAAGCTTCATCGGCTTGTACAACATCGCTGGGGAACTGGCTGGAATGTAGGGTAAATCGAAATGCGAGGTTCAAACTTCAGTAAGTTTACGTCTCCTCTCATATTGGCCATGGCCTCTCATGAATCCCTACAGCTGATTCTGCTTTCAAACGCTACTATACGCTCTTCCACAATCCAGTCTCCCCAACAACCCCAAAGCCACGTTCTCCATTCCCACCCCTTAGGATGTTGGCTCATCTCGCGGCTCCACTCCACCGTGCGCTGGACAGCGGAAAGACGACAGCTAGAAACTCGATCAATCCCAAAGTCACCACTATCGGATTCGTTCGCGCCACAACTTTCAATACTCCCACCAGCAACGTCACCTCCCGTCACGATACCTAATGGCAACTCTATGTCCCTGGAGCAGCAACTACGAACGACTATAAGGCGCCATGGGCCGAGTAGAGTTGATGGAACGAAGAGGTAGGCGCGGAAGAAGTTCCCATTGGGCCCTGCGCTCCTCGTTGAGGTGATGTGGCTTTGTGGGCCGAGGGCGCATGCATTCTCGTGGCGGGGTATTGGGACGCTGATTTAGAGGTGAATGCTAAGCTTCACCGTCTTCCCTTCTAGAAAACTGACGAAAAGGGCACAGCGGCTTCCCCTCCAATACGCACCACCAACACACGCAACAAGAACGACACCATCCATCCATCCCTGCTCCAAAACCACCCATTACGCACCCAGACTCTGGTCCAGAGCCCTCGTCAACGACGCACTGTACCCACCCCCCACTCTTCCTCTTCCGGCCCTCTCGTGCAAATGATCGACGTAGGCTCAACCGGCTCCAGAATCCACGTCTACAAATCCAACAACTGCAGCCCTTCCCCTGAACACGACTACGAAGCATTTAAAAGGACACGACCTGGCCTATCCTCATTCGCCGGTAACCCAGAGGGGCTTCGCGGAGCTTGGACGTCCTCCTGGGCGAAGCTGTCCGCGTCGTGCCTAATACCATGCACGGGTGTACACTTGTAGCTGTCAAAGCTACCGCTGTACTTTGTTTGTTACCCGGTTCACAAGGTGCTGACATTTCGGAGGCGGTGGAAAGGAGGATACGCTCCTCTTATCCCTTCCAGGTACAGGAGAAAGATGGAGTGGTAGAAAAGACGAGGGCGTGTACTCATGGATTACGGCGAATTACCTCTTGGGAACCATCAAAGCCTCCACACCGCCTGATACACCCACCTACGCCGTCCTCGACCTCATAAATACGACCTCCAATCCGGCAGCCGAAATCATGTGATGTTCCAACACTCGTATTTGGGGTATGGTTTGATGCGTACAAGGAGACACGTTCATAGATTGGTTAATTTCATGTCGACGCTGCAGGGCACGAAAGCGAAAGCGGTGGTGGGGAATCCGTGTCTTGCGAAGGGGACACGGAGGGTCGTGACTGTCAAGGTCGAAGTGACGGGTGTGGAGAGGAAGGTGACGATGGATGGGGAGGACATTGGTTTTTTTGAGGTGTGTGATCGGGTGGTGCAGCTCGTATTGGCAAAGGATGCGTAAGTTCGTTTCTACTCCTTCCTTGCACTTTCTTCTCCTCCTCCCTGTCTAATTATCTTTTCCATCCTTTTTCTCCCTTCTCCCTTCTGTCTTCCCCTCCCTCTCTCCCCCCTTCCTTTTTCCCTGTCCCTGCTCTTTTTTTCCCTAAACCTCCATACTGATACACATGCACACACAGAATATGCGAACTCAAACCATGCTCCTTCAACGGCGTCTACCAACCCTCCCTCCTCTCCTCCTTCCCAAACGGTAAAGTCCTCCTCCTCTCCTACTTCTACGACCGCCTCTCCCCCCTCCTCCCCTCCGCCTCTTCTTCCTCCCTGCCCATAACCATATCCACCATTGCCAGCACCGCGCGCCAAGTGTGCAAAGGCCGCGACGAGTGGCTGCAGAACCACTGGGCCGCCGATTCCGAACTCATGGCTGAACTTGCGGACAGACCAGAGTGGTGTCATGATTTATGCATGCGTTGTTGAGGCTTGGGTATGAGTTTGAGGATGGGAGAGAGGTGATTGGGAAGAAGATTGGGGGGATGGAGTTGGGGTGCCATTTGGGTGCTACGATTGCGATGGTTTGTGGGGAGCTGAAGTGTCGGATTTGAGGGATAGGATTTATCTTATTTATCGCTGATGCTGTTTATACATAATAAGGTTGCTTGGGCTATGGAGGGATGGATATCAAGTGCCTATACTTACAAAATGAATATAAACAATCCCACTCTCTAAGACAATAGGTTATGAGTCTGAGGAACGAGGATTCGTACTTTGTAATGCACCGTTTTTCGTCCCGTTTGAGGAGGTTAGGCTCGTGACCAGCCTGTATACCCGATACGATAGTAGAGGGTCTTACCCTCCTCAAAGTTGGCCTTGCTTGTTTGCTCTTTCCGTTCTAGAGCTTTTTGTAGTTCACCTTGCTTCAAGTTTCCATTTTACTACAGTTTTTTTAAAGCCCAACATACTACTGTTTCCTAGAGAATAACATAACGGTGGGTTTGAATTTGATGATATTGCTCGTCTAGCTGAGAGTCGTCAATCTATCTTTATTTTTGGAATTTTATGTGTCATTTTTTTGTCCATCTCTCCGTTGCAGAATTGCTGTCTTAGTGTTGCTTTGAATGTTGGGTCGCCGGTCGGAACAACATAAAAAATTTCTCTACTTTAAATGATATGAAGACATCAGCAAATCATGGGAAATACGATGATCCATCATAAGGTACGAAATTGATTACAATTCACTGAAATCATCACAATTTACTATAAGATTTCGAACCTCCTCACAACATCTGATGAGGCCTCATCATCGCTGCACTTTTAGACAATCTCTCACAATATAATGCAAGATTTTACAATATCATGCCGCTATACATTCTTTTGTGACGTCGTGATCCATTTTGATAGCTTTTGAGGGATTTTCTTGCATTTTAGACTGTCCATTCCTTTCAATTATGGTTTGTAGGATTGAAACATATGAATTGCAGCTACAAGGTACAAGAATGAATGACTATAAGGTACTGTAGAATGCCTGGGCTAAGGGAAAGGGGAAGGGAAAAAAAGATGGCTGAAACAGCAGGCGAAGCTACTCGCTGACCCCCAGAACACATAAGATCGTGTATTCTGGGAGTCCGTCATGAGCCGATGGGGGGTGCAGAGAAGATGGGTGGATAAGTGGTGAGCCTGCTTGATCCGAGCAGGAGGGCTGACAGAGTGGAGGTGCACGCCAACTCATCATAATTCTAGATGAATCCGTTAGAAGAGGCTTTGACTGTGCAAAGGTAGGACTCACTGTGTGGAGAGCATATGGCCAGATTAGAGCAGCACATACACCAGCCCATGGATGTGGCCAACATCGGTGAGTGGGTGTATGTGTGGACTCAGGGAGTGATGGTGGGGAAGTGGGTGGTGGTTATGAAGACAAAGTCCTGAAATTCACACTAGCAAAGTTCAACATCAGTCACATGCCATGATGTTCCGACCTCAGCCAAACATACCCGATGGTCACATGACAGGCTTCCAACACCCAACCCATTGACAACTCCAGTTTTATTTGAGTTTATCTCTCGATTACTTGCGATGTTGTCTAGAAGGTGTTTGCATTCATCAAGAGCTGAGAAGACTACGATATGGGAATTTTTTCCTCCATTACACTGTCTCATAATTATAAGAAAATGATATATATATAATTTTACCCAGCTACAAGACTGGAGTAATCTGCATATATCCTCATGAGGAGCACACAAGGATTGCAACAGATTGTGAGGAATTGTGATCTGCCATCATCTGACAAATATCTTGTGAGAAATAAAAGGTCATATCAGGACTTCACCGGTTCGCTGATGGATGGTGTGTTGATGAACCTAGTGGAGATGCAATGGGAATGAGTGGATGTGTATATGGGTTTATTAATGAGGAGCGAACCGTGAAGCAGTTCGGCAACGAGCAGAGAGGATAACTTAGTACAAGAACTCTCATAAAAAGGCTAGTGACAAACAACAAAAAATGATGTACCACCTGTGGTAATAGCATTATGAATGATGTTTAGATGGTCAAGAAAATTAGGTATCGGGTTTTGCACCCGAAGGTGTGCTATGTAGTTATCACTTCAGACAGCGACGAATATGAAGGGCCACATATGTGTGAGTGGTAGTGCCTTTTTCAAAGTTGGCCTTGTTTGTCCCAGCTCTTTCCGTCACATCGAGCTTTTTTTAGCCCAACAGTCTTCAAAGTTGGCCTTGTTTGCTCTGCTGCCCTGGCCTTTTTTTAGACCTAGGGACTTCAAAGTTGGCCTTGTTTGAGCTGGCTGTTACCGCTGACAGGAGAGGTTTAAGAGGCCTTCTCCTTTTGTTTCCCAACAAACAGTTGCTTATCATGACCTTTCTTGACCATAATGTAAGAGTGCATCAAATGAGTTCATATCGGCTGTTTCGCCATTAATTGAGCCTTACTGTTTGAGTAGTACAAATTATTTCTACCAATTTACAGGTTGTTTCGTCATTTGTCGGACAGACATGACTGTACATCAATTTCAACCTGAAACAATATTACACCTTTGTAGCATATGAAGATGGCGTGTTGACGATGGCAAGGAACCTGGTAGAAGTGAGTGAATGTGTATGGTGATGTAGTGTTCTTATGTGGCTAGTATGTTGCTTATATATAGTAAGTCTTTAAGCTTACAATCTTTGGGCTTGCTGTCGTCATCAGTTTTGATGACAAGAATTGTGCCCTTCCAACAGCTGTAAAAATCTTCCGATAACTGTTCAAGCCCGTAGTTCTGAGGGAAGCATTGATGTTGATCAGCAAAGTGAACAGAGTAATGTAGGGCATTCCCATCAATATTGATGTCGACTTGGCATTTATATCTTGCTGAATTGAACCATTGACATTTGTTATTGAGTGTGTGAACCCATAATGGAGTGTACAGGTCATCCACTGTGACTAGGCTACTCACGCCAGGTCGTTTCGGGATTGGGACTAACATAAAGTTGTAGTCCTCTCCTGTGTCGAACAACATCCCCCAGCATACACTGGATTCCTGTTCACGGTGTCCGTGGTTACTGGCACATTCTGTCCAAAGGGTAAAGGACTTACCTTTCCTGCATCAAAAATTCTCAGTATGTATGTTAGTGTGATTCATCGGAAGATGAGAGCTACCATGATAGGAGAGCCTGTCTTACTCAGAGGGCCCTAAAAGAGAGATCCTCCAACCAACATCCAACACATTGTTCATTTCATATACAGAGAGTAACTGAATGGGGAGACACAATGCGAGAATGTCTCTCATAGACGCATTGATGTTAACATCGTCAGTTATAGATAAATACGAGGGCATGGAACTTGAGACGAACCTGGTCCTGGGTCCGAAGACAAACTTAGGAGTCAAAAGCTCAGATGACGAAGTCGGTTGCCACTGTGAGAACGTGAAAATGAGGATAACCAAATGAGAGAAAGTCAGTATCGGGTTTTGCACCCGCAGGCATGCTAGAGTCCGAGGAACGAGGATTCATACTTTGTAATGCACCGTTTTTCGTCCCGTTTGAGGAGGTTAGGCTCGTGACCAGCCTGTATCACTTCAGACAGTGACGAATATGAAGGGCCACATATGTGTAAACATAGGCACTAAAAAGTGCGGGATAGGTGAAACCCTGTGTTCCCCTGACATATTTAATGTCAATTTCTAAGTTTGATGACCGATTTGTATAGGTATCATATTGTTGCACAAAAATCTTAGATTTGTAGGACAAACAGCTCCTAACTAAGATGTGTTGCTATGAAGGCCTGAAAAATGGTGTCTATTATTGTAACGATGTCCTAAAATAAAGTGTTGTTACATTTTCAACACATATTCGGTCAAAATAAGAAGAATAAGAGACCGAGTTTGTAGCGCCGGCATACTTAGAACACTTGAAACAATTTGAGAAGCAGGCATATTCCAGATGATATTGAGAGTAACTTTCGAGATATGTAGCTGCTAAATATGGTTTAACAGAGTGAAAATAAGAAGTAGACTATTTGCGAGTGCCCCATGAGTGGTCCCAATGAGCAGGGCACTCAAGCCTTCATCAATGTCAATACAGCACTCACGAGAAGAGTACTGAATTTTACATACCTTACTGGCTTTCTTAAGCTGCTTCTTCAGGATGTTTTCAAGCGCCTCATCCTGATTCTCAAAGCAGGGATACTGTGCTTTGGCCTAATGGGCATTAGCGATAGACACTGAATACGAGCCGTTTCCTAGCAAACTTTTGAGAAGACTATTTTCACAGCAGAACCCGTCTGTTTTGAGTAGCTCGCTTTTAACTTGAGGTGTTCATGGACAAGATCATGCAGAAAGTTCTATTAGGAGTCAATGAGAGCGCAACACAGTTGTACAAAAGAAAAAAACCTGAATGTTGGAGTATTCCTCCTCAGTGACGCCGAGTTGGGAGTAGATTTCCAATTCACTGCTTTCCTTGGTAGATGCCTGGGATGCAGGCTCAATAAGTGGGAATGTTGTCTTCAGAGTGCTTGGCAGCAGGCTAAGGAGTCGTTCAGGACTGAATTTAGTGTGGGTTGTGAGTGGTGAGAAGTATCACTGGATGCGATGGCCCCTGACTGAAGTGCAAGTGCAAATACAGGGCATTGGTGAGTACAGACGAACATGGCTCAGACTTGCCCGACCTTTATAAGATGTTGTCATCGCTTGGGCAACCAGGTCTTGTTGTTCCCTGCTGAGCAAGTATGAGCACTTGAGTATAAGGGATTAGTCCTTGTTCTGAAAAGTGTAAAAGATACACAACAGCCTCAGGTCATTCGTTGTTCCTGCAACATCGCTCAACATTGGATATGGCCCCTTCAACAATCACAGATGCTGAAAAGGTTTATCAGCGAGAGACTGTTGCTCGAACTGCATATAACCGGTTTTCGAAAGTGGTCCTACAGGAACTCTGTCTGAGGAATGGAATCTTAGCAGTGAACACTGGACTCCGGTCTCATGTACCGATGAAGCCCGACTATATCAAAGCTTTACTTTTCTTTGCAAGTGACCCACTGTCCTATAACTCGTTTGCTCATCTATCAGCAGGGAAAACCTTATCAACTCACGAAGTGCAGGTTGCAGGAGGTAGACACTGAAATGTCAAGTGTTGAACCTTTCGTGAGCAAGGGAGCAGAGACTCGATCCCTTGAGGCGGATGTGGTGATGGAACCAGAGTACCAATTGCAACCTAAAAATTGTATATACCACAAAAAAAATATTCAGTAGTGTGATAGGCAATTTTGTGACACTTTAAGGTCTTGGCACCAAAAATATGTATTCAGTACATAATGAAATCATGAAATATATTTAACTCAGAAACTTGGCACCAAAAATATTTATCTAGTGCAAAAAAATAGATTCAGTAGTGTGACAGCCAATTTTGTGACATTTTGCAGCAGAAATACAGAATAGATACAGTAAGGATTTTAGATACATTTAGTACAATAATAAATATAGTACCACTAATAGTCAGGTATAAGAGGTTGACTGAAGTGATGCCAGAGGAAAGGCTGAGCCTTAGTGAGCACTGTGCATTTGTATTATTATGGTACTGCATAAAATTTGTGATCAAGCCACAACCCCCTGCTGAGTGCTACTCTCTACACTTGTGAGATGCATTGACTCCAATTTTTACCATGAACAAAGTTGTTAAAGTTAATAGAGGTTGGATTATTAGCAATTATAGCTGGTGTCCTTGGACAAAGTAAACCAGGTCTATTGATTTGTGGCACCCAGAATAGATGTGACTTGGAATCTGCTTTCATCATCCAATGACCCATGGGAGTGAAATTAACAGGTCTACCATAGAAATCATGGAGCAGTGTATGGGATAGACTAGTGTTATTGACATTGTTTCCAGCTTCTGCCTCAATGGATGTGGATGGAGGTGTATCTAAAGTCAGGTGTGTTGATTGATCCAGTTTATGATAATGTGTCTGAACAATACTATCATTAGTAAACAATTGAGCAGCACTGGCATAATTATCATAGCTAACCCAATCATCATAGACAATAAGAGGATCCTTTGCATTTTGAGATGCATCTGCATGGCATGGTTTTACTGTGTTGTCATTAGATCCAGAGGAAATATGTCTGCTATCAGAAGAAAATATCACAGACTCAATATCAGCATCATAGTCTGCCATCATAATCTGACCCATCTGGGCATCCCATATTCTGATAGCTCCATCACTAGATCCAGAGATGATGTGTCTCCCATCAGGAGAAAATTCAACTGAAAAAACTGCACAACTATGACCACTGAGTGGTTCCATCACACTCTGGCCTGTCTGGACATCCCATAGTCTAAGTGTCTCATCATATGACCCAGAGACAATATACATGCCATCAGGAGAGAATGCAACTGAAGTGACCTCATCTTGATGACCAATAAGTGGACTCATCACACTTTGACCTGTCTGGGCATCCCAAAGCCTAACTGTGCTATCATAAGATCCAGAGACAACATGCTTGCCATTACAGGAGAATGCAACTGATTTAACACAATCACTATGACCAACTAGTGGATCCATTATGCTCTGACCTGTTTGAGCATCCCAGAGTCTAAGTGTGTGATCATCAGATCCAGAAACAATGTACCTTCCATCAGGTGAGAATGAAACTGAAGTCACATCATCATCATGACCAACCAGTGGGTTCATTATGCTCTGACCAGTTTGAGCATTCCACAATCTTAATGTATGATCACAGGATCCAGAAATAATATATCTGCAATCTGGAGAATATGCAACTGATGTAACTGTAGACTTATGGCCCCTAAGAGGACCCAGTAAACTCTGACCTGTCTGAGCATCCCAGACTCTGATTGTGCAATCCATAGAGCCAGAGACAATGTAACGGCCATTGGAAGAAAATGCCACTGAACGCACATTTTTTGTGTGGCCTCTCAGAGGATCCATTGCACTCTGACATGTTAGAAAATCCCAAATTTTGACTGTAGTATCATCAGATACAGAAGCAATGTGCATTCCATCAGGTGAAAATGCAACTTGTTTGATCCACTTCTTATAATGAGTGGCTATATCTGTTTTATTTGGCCCTGTCAGAACCTGAGCATCCCAGAGTTTGACTGTACCATCATATAATCCAAGAGCAATGTGCCTTCCACAAGGAGAATAAGCCACTGAATGAATTGAACCTGTACCATCATCTGGACTCAACATGCACTGGCCTGTTTGAGTATCCCAAACTCTAATAGAATCAGCAACAGATACAACATGTTTGCCATCAGGAGAAAAGGCCACTGCATTGACTGGGCAAGGATGACCCCTGGAATCTCTCATCACACACTGACCTGTCCAAGTATCCCAAACCATGACACTATGACCATCACATCCACTCACAACATGCCTCCCATCAGGAGAAAATGCAACTGAATATACTTCATCATCACAAGGATCCATGACACTCTGACACCCCTGAAAATCCCAGACTCTGACTGTTCCATCACCAGATCCAGACACAATATGCCTACCATCAGAAGAAAATGCAATTGAATACACTTTACGATCATGACCTTCAAGAGGATCCATCACACTCTGACCAGTCTGAGCATCCCAGACTCTCAGTGTTTTATCAGCAGAGCCAGACACAATGTACCTGCCATCTGAAGAAAATACAACTGAATGCACTTCAGCCTCATGGCCTCTTAGAGGATCCATAACACTCTGACCTGTGTGAGCATCCCAGACTCTGATTGTTTTATCAGCAGATCCAGATATGATGTACCTGCCATCAGGTGAAAATGCAACTGAATGCACTTCATCCTTATGGCCTTTGAGAGGATTCATTACACTTTGACCTGTCAGAGAATCCCAGACTCTGATTGTTTTATCATCGGACCCAGAGACAATGTGCATGCCATCAGGTGAGAATGCAACTGATTTCACAGAATCACTATGACCCTCTAGTATTAAAAAACACCTGTCTGACCAATTTTCCATTTGACCAGTCTGAACTATCAAAGTTTTCTCAAAATGTTTCAAGAAATGCATAGATATTTTTGAATCCTTGGGTGCAAAGGGTAGTGCTGACAGATAGATATGTGGTGCTGCCATAGATATTGGCTTAATAAACTCCATGATGAATCGATTTGCATCACTTGCAAAATCTGATATAGTACAGTTTAATGTCTAGATTTTTTCAATTGAAATCAGTATAAAATATTTGTCTCCATGTGCAGCACTTACCCTGCTCCAGCTTGCAGCCAACAACAGTAACTGAGCAGCATGATTTACAGTGTCTCTCAAGCTCATAACTTCTAGCCAATGTAGAACATGGTCTAACATGAACTTCTCCATCTGAAACATTACTTCTGACTGTAAAGTTTCATTGGAACTCCTTTGCAGATAGATTGCCCAGAAGTGACTTGCATGATCTAAAGCAGTAGACTTCACACTCTCAATGTGATTCTCTAGCTCTGGAATGTCTTCATTTAAGACATGTGATGTTTCAAGATCAAAGAAGTTAAACTTGAGTACTGCATTCATAAATTTTAGACAATATCCAGCAAGACATAGGCTGTACTTCTGTGAATCAACCCAAAAGGTTTGAGAACGCTTTGGAGCAAGCAGAAAATCTGTAACTGACTGATGACAGATCTGCACATGGCCAGTTTCACTGATAGACATGATTGGGCTTAATTGGCTAATTATTGATAATGCATCTCGAACCCCAAGAAGCTGTTCTAAATCACTGGAATGAAGTGGATTTTTTGCAACAACAATTGAGCCCAAAACTGATGACAAGGAATTTTTCTCTGTTTCTCTTAGACCCTGAAAAGCAGCAGAAATGATGTAATGGTACAAGGTATCAATGGCATCAGTCCCTTCTCCAGAATTTGAACATATAACTTCCAGCCTCTCTTGGATGTCACCACCCTTACACAAGATAAAGTCCATTGCAGATTTAGCCCAAATGAATAGCCCAGCAGCTTTTTCTACAAGAAATGAAATTTTTTCTAGACCAGGCCAATTCAGATATAGAGCTGAGGTATCTAACTTAGCCCCTTCAAGAAATCTTGTGGTAAAGTATTTCCAAATATCATCAGCAGTCTGATCAGAAACTTCATCCCCAGCATGAAGGTCAATATGATAACTAACAGAATCCAGTGCACTCTGAATATCAGGATAACGACGACTTGTAACTAGAAGCTTTAGAGACTTGGAAAGCTGAGAACAGGATTGTAATGAAGGTAAGAGTTTCTCATATGAATCACACTCATCCAGAGCATCAACAACAAGAAGAAGTGGCTTCACAGAGCTTTGAGACACCTCCTGGAGTGGCTTGACAATGAGATGCTCAAATTGCATCGAGATATCAAGGCCTCTGATATTAGCTTTCTGTGCCTCTAGTGCTTGGGCTATAGATGTTTTCAATGCAATGGTTCCCTGAGCAAGGTCTAAAGCAAGGCATCTCCATAAGTTATCTGGATTTCGAAGCTCAGCCTGATCACGGTGGAAGAAAAATTGCCCAGAAAAATGTTCAAAGCCAGCCACAACAGTTGAAGCAATTGTTGTTTTCCCAGAGCCAGGACTGCCAGAAAGCCAAAGAATATTTGGCATGCTCAGATCATTCACCCATGCTTCAATGTCTGTGAGCACATCCACTCGAGTTCCAGGCATGCATCTCTCTGATGGTTTGCTATGTAATGGAGCCCTGAGCTCTTGCAACCATTTATCTGCCTGAGGAATTGGCTGATATAAGTTATGAATATAATGAGCATAACATGACTTTCCTTAGATTCCTCTATCATGCCATTGATTTTTTCTTGAAGTTTCTCAGTATTGTCATAGTGGACCTGCAAGATGTCCATGTGACTTAGCATGGAAATGCCAATGAGAAGGTTCACTAACAATTTGTCCAGCAATAATTATACTATGGTCCATCTGAATATCTTGTGCTCCAGAAAAGACAGTTACTTGACCTGCTGTAGTATCTTTTGAGAGGAAAGTGTCAGTTTCAGCTGATTAACTTACCATTTTGATTGGCCTCTGTTGTCTTGACCTGTTCAGTAGTCTTCATACTGTCAGCTGTAAATAATCATGAACAATGAAGAATAAGAAATGGACACTTTGATATACTTTGGAAGTGTTCCTTATGCCAAGGAAGAACCTAAATTTTGGTGTCAGTGAGTCAGTTGAGCAGAGAAGTATTTTTCATACACAGAAAGAGCTCATGGCTTCATTTATCTTTCCCTCAAACTTCTCGATATACTCTTTATCTTGTGTAAAGCTGGGAAATTTCCTCAAACTCTGCTGGTGAATATCTGAAACATCTTCTTTTAGATGGCTCAAAGTTCTAGTAGAGTATTCAAATTCAAACACATCTATGACGACAGCCAAAGTCACGCACCCTTGCAAATCCTCAAGCCAAGACTGCAAAGCAGAGGGAACCTGATCCTCGCGAAATTGACAGGTATACTGAATGATCTCCTCGACCTTCCTAATAAGAGTATCCGAACAAGCAATCCAAGCTCTCTTGTTGTAGTTGAATTTCTAATTTGATCGTCAGATGGGTTTGGCACATTGATTAGAGCAAAGCCGAGCACCTTAATGACCTCGATGATACCCAAGGCCTTGATGACCGCCAACTTCAGGGGCGGAAAGGCGTCATCAGATGCGGCCACAGCTTCGAGTCTCTGAAGACTGGCGCCTCCGCCGACAGCTTGCCGATGTCTGTTTGCACTGGGATTCCATTCAATGGTATTCATTTTGTAGATGTTTTTGTTACTGGTAGTAGCGTTTGCGTGTGCGTTCGTGGTGGTGGTGGTGGTGGTGGTTGATAAGAAACCGATACACATGCTGCAGTGCCGCACTGTTGCCCTCATGCCATGGTCATGCGCCGTATCATCTATTTTTGAACTTGCTCTTAGACGCTCACGGCAATCCATTGGATTCTGCACTCCAAACTTCCTTGAGATATCTACCGCTTCAATGTAGTCGACGCGGCCTACGTCTACATCCCAATTCTCGCTTCAACACCAACGTCTGGCACAAAGGCTGACAAAGCGTATATCATTCCGCTCATGGCTCGAGTTGGTGTTGATGACGTGTGTGCCTTTACACCATCCACTTCGATTCGATCGAGATTGCAGGGCGCTTGATCACCCTCCTGAACGATAAGTAAGTACGTATGGCAGTGTAGGGAGAAGCGAGCCAAGTTGTGCGTTCTTCTTGACGGGCCGCATAGCCTTCTCGTCGTCCATTTTAGTCCGTCACATTGACAGCGCGGATAAATTATGCAAAATTCCCATATTTTTTTGATGATTCGTTGACCAAGCCGCCCGACAGCGAGTTTTGAAATTTCACCAGATGAGCGCGCTGCAGGAAGCGCCCGAAAGAAACTGCCGACAGAAAAGCAGTATGCAGAGAGCGTAGCATCTGAGAATGAGATCACAGCGAATGGGCAACGTCAGAAATTACCAGAATATTTAAACTGTGACACCTACTTTACGATGGAATAGCTGCCGGGCCTATCCACGGCCACCCATTGCATTGGTTCGCTGAGCGACGTTCCTAAGCTTAGAGGTCGCACAATCGACTGAGTTTCGTTTACCTCCTCACCCTGTTGGTGTCCGGATTATACATTGAGACTCGGATACACCCGTGTACCGCTCCTGACGTCGGAAAAAATGAGTCTTGACGCGGTAGTAAATGGGAGAAAGGATTCGGAATAGAAAAATCCACTTTACCGTTATTACCCCATATAAGTTGATACCATCTGGCATCGATGGAGTACCAGACGGAAGTCTAAAGGGGGCGTTGTTGAACGTACGACAGTCATGTTTAATCACTTGCGCATGACGGTTACATGATGGAACTCTGAGACAAAAGCATCAGTCAAGGATTCATCAGTTTTGAGGAGAAGGATACAGCACCGTTGTGTCGCGTAATCCACGTCCCATAGCGAGCCTTTGGTGAAGGGCAATCGCGAAGAGCTAAGGATTCTGTGAACACTCTATCACAGGTTAAAGAAAGGAGATATCCCGAGAGACGTCACCGAGGAAAGACAGGAGAGGCTGAGTGTTGGAACCAAGGTCGTGATCAACGTCACCGTGAGATAACGATTGATCTTGACCAAATCTTGACGACGTCCTTGCCTTTGACATCGACCTTGCGTCAGCTTCAAGCTCCACTAAGTTGGACATGACAGATAATGAATCTGTACCTTCAAACGCTACTGCATGCTCTCACGCAATCCACTCCTGGTTTCTGTGGCTCCGGGCCAACAACCCGAAAGCCCCGTTCCTTTTCCCATTCCCGTTCGCCTGGGAGGTAGGCTTTTCTCGCGGCTCCTCTCCTTCGTATGCTGAATAGCGAAAAGGCTCCAACTACAAACTCATTCAACTCCAATCCCAACGCCACATCCACCGGATTCGCTCACCTAGCAAATCTCAATAATACTAACAGTAACCTCGCCTCTCGTTCACGATAACTCATGGCAATCCTCTCTCCCCGGAGCAGCAACTGCAACCAACTAGAAGGCCGAGTAGAATCGGAGGGACGAAGAGGTTCGCAGGAAGAAATTCGTTGTGGGCGCTGCGCTCCTCATTGTTCTGGTGTGGCTTTTTGGGCCTAGGACGCATACGTTCTCTTAGCGAGGGAATGGGAACGTTGATTCAGATGTGGAAGGTAAGTTTCATTGCCTTTCTTTCTAGAAACTGACGAAAAGATACGGAAAAAGGAACCAAGCCAACAGCAACCTCATCTCCCATTTACGATACCTCATGGCAACCTGTCTCCCGGGAGCAGCAACTACAACTGACTAGAATGCGCAATGCGCCGATTAGAGTTGATGGGACGAAGAGGTTCCCGTGGAAGAAGTTCGCTTTGGGCGCTGCGCTCCTCGTTGGATGATGTGGCTTTGTGGGCCGAGGGCACATGCATTCTCGTGGCGGGGGAATGGGAACGCTGATTTGGATGTGGAAGGTAAGTTTTCACTGTTTTTCTTTCTAGAAACTGACGAACAGACTACGGAAAAAGGATACTAAACGAACACAGCGCCTTCCCCTTCAAAAACGCACCGCCAACAAACCCAACAACAACAACAACACCCGTCCCTGCTCCAAAACCAAGACTCGTACGAAACTAATACAGACCCTTTATTAACAAGTCACTGTACTGTTGGCATTGAGCCACCGTAGAAACGACTCCTCTCCCAGAAACAACGAAATGAAGTACCAGAAGAAGGACAATTGCGTAGAGCAGAAGAGGCGGACGTCCTAGAAAACCAAATCATGATGACCAAATGTTCAAGATCGTGATCAACCGCATTTGTTCTTGACCACCATCATGCCTTGACGTCGACCAAGACACATCCTCCACGTCGCGCGGAGCTATCCATTGGATATCCCTGTCATCGGCCCAAAAGACTCAAGATCTCAGAATATGTGCCTCGTCTGCTTTCCCGAGTTTGCCTTGGGACTTCTGATAGCTGAAGTTGGGTTGGATAAGTCTGAAGTGCGTTTGCTATCTATGCCGCCAGTTTCTCCATCTGACCTTAGTTCTCTGAAGCTCTGCACCGTGCTACTACGTGGTGGTTCAGTTGCTCCTTCAAATCTGGCCGCATTATCGTGTAGTTTCACCTCGAAGCTACAAAACCCCAGAGCAGCCCCCATACTTCACCCGCAATGTCGAGCTTCCATGATTTGGGCTTCTCTATTCCTTCCAGCCCTATATATCCGATCTCAACTCGGGTTCGCCATCTCATGCCGTGGCATTGCTGCAGCGTCGGGTAATTACCAGGGGAAGCTTTGGCCATTCGACTAGGACGACGTGCCACATATTCGATCATCCTTGTACACCGCCCCCGTTGTGCAAGAAGAGGACCCACCACTATCCGCTGTCGAACACTCATGACCACCATCCACTTGCCAGGCGACGGCCGTCGACCACCCAGCAGCCCCAGACCCATCGGCGCTTCAACCACCCAGGTTCATCGGCTTTTTTTCAGCGCCAATTACCACTGCTTTCGACCACCTCCCACAAGGCGCCCAACCCTCGTCATTATCGGCAGAACGGCAGACAGCTCTTGTTACTCGATCAGGCGACTTACCCTACGTCCGCCAGTCCAGTCACTTTCTAGGCTCTACGTCTGTAGGCGTTGACGACCTCGCGTTTTGGAAAAGGAAAGGCTCACATTGGCTAGCGTGAAGCATCTTCACCGTCCATTGTCGTAGCCCAACACGTGACGAGCTCAGCGAAGCATGACCTTCGACCTAACTTTGACTGCGGATACTGAAGTACTGAAGATCAAGATCGACTTTATGCGCCTTCAGACTCTGTGCAGGTGGGTGTCCTTCCTGTCCTGAACCTCCTTCTACTGTCACCCTTGTAATGCCTTCCACGCCGTTCCATTCGCTTTCTCTCCCGCTAACCTTGGCGCCCAATGATTCTCCTTTCTTTCTTTTGATTTGCCGTCCAATATCATCACTCCACTTGTCCTGCTCGTCCCCCCCTTTTGCGCCCTTTTGACCTCGACAAGCTTAACTCACCCACTTTCCCCAGCAGCCCACCCTTTCCCTCACTTGTACTTTCGAAGTCCTCGCCAGGACAGGTGAACGACACCCTCGTGATCATCTCGCAACGTCGTTCGGAGAGTCATACGTGCCTTGAAATCCACCCAAATCATCCGCGATCTTTGAAGATGCCCGGCTCACTGAGCCCAGTTTCTTTTACGCGGAACGTCCAACGTCTCTGGGAGAGCGGCCCGAGATCAGCCCACTGGAAGGTACATGGAGTTTCCAGTGAGTATGCACCTCCTTCTCATGATAGTCTTCTGGTTAATGAATTGACCGACAGCTACCTCTTGTCTTATGTCTCCAGAGGATCTATCACATTCTCTCCGAGCCGCAGTTGGCTTCTCGTGGAATATTTTCTGGGTTTCCTCTGCTGTGGTCGTCTTCTGCCGTTTCCGCGCATACGTTTCGGGGTATCGATCCCCTTTCGCAGCTTTGTCATGCATACACGTTGGAACAGCTTCCCCAAAACTTCATATACGCGAGCTGCTCCACCCCACCCTTTACCTCCACGTCAACACCCCTCAGAACCTTCGATCATCGCCCGGAACGTCCCAACCCTCTACGTCCACTCCTCGCCACCATCCCGTTCTGCTAATTGTTTGCCCTGTGTTGAGGCGGCAACTGCGAGGACCGAATGAGCTGCTGTAGTCTTTTGGATGATGAAGCGTCAGCGACAGTAGAAACCCATTGTCATCATCTTTTATATCGCCGTCCACACCTGGTTTTTCCCTCGTCGGATGAAGCTTACAGCGTCGTTTTTCATCTACACACACACAATTCAATAGGGCCGCCATCTAGAGACTCCTCACCTTCGGAGCTCTCTCTGGCGTGAGGATCCAGCCTTTAGATTCGTTCCTCCTTCAACTTGGATTCATTGCTGTTTTGAAGGGTGGGACGGCCACTGGGACCGCTTTTTAGCTGTGGAATCAACATCGTGCTTTATCATGACTCCCTGGGACTGCCCTCTATACACCGGAGCCGTCTCTTCGCATTCAGACCTGGTAGTGGGCCTTTGTTGGCATTCGAGTTGGGTCGAGAGTTGCTGAAGGACGGGATCAGCCACTTTGTTCGCTATATCTCAGCCTTATCAATTCGACTGATCCTAGATGATGAACGACCGGTCCAATATCGTCGAACATGCATGTCGTCTTGGGTGCACATGCGCAGGGGTCCGACTTCTCCGAACAGGG